TAGTAACTGGGTAAGTAAGCAAACGATTTACACACTATGGTAACTAAAATAAAGGAAACACATACAAGAGGTTGAGACAGAAAATAGAAGGGGATGCCTACTTCAAATAGGATGATTAGGAAAGGATTTTTTTGAGGAAAGTGAGATCTAAAGGCTGATTAGAACAGTGAGGACAAGACTGTTCTTATAATGCAAAAGCTATTGAAGTGTTGGTTTTTGACAAAATGTCAATTTGTTTTTAAGAAGACTCCTTATTAGGGTGTTGAGAAAGGACTGGAGGCAGTCAACAGAAGCTACTGCTATATCACTGAGCTAAGGTGACAGTAGAATGAGAGTAGTCAGATTGAATATATACTTTGGAGATAAAATTGATGGTACTTGCCGATGGATTAGATGAATTGAGGAAGATATGAAGTGAGAAAAAGGGAAGAATCAAGAACGACTCTTGGATTTCTGGCTTGAATAACTGAATTGATGGCAGTCATTTCACTTACAGAAATGGGCAAGACCAGGAGAAGGCAGAGAATTATGCGTTCTGTTTTGGAGATGTTAAAGTTTGAGACAAATGTCAGATTTCCAATAGGAGAAATCAAGTATACACCCACACATGAGGTTCGGATAGGAGAGGAATGGTCCAGTTATAGATAGACTAATATACAACTGATTCCCATTATTTGGGAATTCCAAATTGGCGAATTCACCTACTCACCAAAATTTCTAACCGCAAAATCAAAACTTGAGGTGCTTTCCTGATCATGTGTGGACGTGCACAGAGCTACAAAAAAGTCTTGAGCTGCCCTACAGGCATGTTCCCAGGCTACACTGTGCCTTCTTGTTTTAGCACTCATAAAAAATATAAAAAAGACTAGCTCTAGCTGAGGAGTTAGGGAAGAGGCTTTATAGTAGAGGTAGCACCACAGCTGGGCCTTGAAGGATAGGTAGAAATTGGTAGAGCTATACAAAGGACTTTTTGATAGGAAAAAAATATATATATGAATAGAGAGACACAGCAGTCTAGCAAATGGTAATGTCTTAGGGGTAATGGTAAGAGATAAACCTAAGATGAGGTTAGATCATGAAAAGGCTTGAAAGCCAGGTCACAGACTAGATTTTATTCAATAGGTGATAGGGAAACTACCGAAAAGATGAGAATGTGAAAGTCACATGATTACAGCTGGCCTTTGGAAGGTTTAACTGGCATGAGTAGGTGGAAAGAAGTGGCAACAAAGATACTGCAAATAGGCAAACCAGTTAGGATGCTGTTAGAATAGTCTTAAGCAAAAGGTATAATAAAGCCCAAAAGTAGGGCAGTGGCAGTGAAACTGCAACAGAAGCAATGACTACAAAAGACCCTGCATACTATTAGAATGATTTATTGGCTATAGAAAGGTAAACCTTACAAAATTTTGCCAGATGAGGCAAACACAGCCATCTTCTACTGCAAAAATAAAAAGGTGGCTCATATGGCTATTTACCAGGCATGAAAAACAGGAATAAGTTGTAGAATTATTTTGGTGGGACATCTTACCATATTATGCATTTAATAATTATTTATCCAGCACTGTGCAAGGTTATACAGTAGCACACAAGACAAAACACTACTCTTTTATTCATGGAGCTTATAGACAGACAACTACACCATGGCAAATGTTTATGAGAATTCCTGACACTAATAGAAAAATAGCTTGTTTACTAAAATGAGTTTTCTTAGATGCATGTAAGATAATGATTTCCCGAAATGTCAAGAACTAAGCCCAGTGAAAACTGCTACTCTCTTCACTTTTAAAAGGGGAATGAACTACAATTCATGTCCAAAAGACCTATGAAAAGATATTAGAAAATAAAAACCAAACTAATGTAAGAATTTCAAAAAACACTTATGAATAGGTTTTAAAAGCTAAATACCATTAACTCTAAAAACAAAAACAAGCTACTAGAAGCAAACTTTGAAAATTCGTGTTGCAAAATTTGGAATGATTTAAGAGAAGAAAACTAAAAATAATGGAATAAAAGGATAAAAATAAAACTGTAGTTTATATCACTGAATCCACTTGAATGACTATATCCTAAAATGTATATTAGAATGATGCTATTAAGGGATGAATTAAAAGATTAAACATGACTCTACTTAGAAATCTCTTATACTATGTTTCTTATGGCCTTATTCTAGTAAGTGATTTTCAAATTAACAGGCAAGGATTTACCAAGGGTGCTTGTTAAAAATGCAGATTCTCTGGGCTCAGTTTAGAGATTTTGAATTTATAGTATCTGTGGAGTGGCTCTGGAATCTACAAATTTTAATAAGCACTTGAGCAACTCTACTGCAACTAGTCAGGGATAACACTTTGAGTAATCCTGCAGTGTTTTAACTCAACTAAGATCTTCAATTCATAAACAAGATAAGCTAAACAGGACAAAATTAAATACCTTACTCAAGTTTACAGGTCCCCATTCTTGCTAGACTGAGAGTTAAGTCTCCTTCCCCAGGGACCTTTGCTGTTTCTTCAGCCTCTCTCACTATCCTGCTCCTACCCATTTTCAAAGCCAAATTCTGTGATTAGGTCTTTCATTGCCACACTGGGGTTACATTAACTCATTTTTTTTTGAGTATATCTTTTCCCACAACTGGAGTAAAAAGCTCCCTGGGGAGAAACTGAGCTTTTACTTTTATACTCCCCCTTCATAGTAAGACATGTATTCTTTTTCACTACCTTCAATTTGCCAGCTGTATCCTGCTTTTCTGCAGAGCTTATGAGTACTAAAAGTGTGTGTGTCGGGTAGGGGTGAGGGGAGGAGGTAGCTTATACTTCTTAGCCCTATATGCAGTGCCTGTGAGTTACACCTCACAATCAAATATGAACTAGTGGGTCACAAGAATCATTAAAGAAAGTCAGAATAGTTTGAGGGGTGTGTGTGGGGAGGGGGTACTGTAACGTAAGATGTATTTCTTATTGTAGGCTGCAGTCAAAAAAGTTTGAAAGCTGCAATGTTGATAACTTCTCCAACACATCTTCACTACAGATAGGCAAAGACCTTTTCTCACCCAAATAACATTTAGCCACTGGTTATTCTTCCCATTCTTCACTCCGCAAAGGTAATAAAAGATTTGTTTATTCATTCTACCCTTCCTTCACTCAAATGAAAAATGGAGAAGGGATAAGTCTAAAGTCTGATGAGCATGTCTCACAGTACAAGTTTCACCCGAGTCTGTGTTCTTCAGATGAGTCACCTAAGTGTTAAGATGCACTTCAGATGGGCTCTTAGAGCACCTGTCTCTTGACTCAAATCTATCTGAAATTTTAGGCATCCCAAAAAGGGCTTTGAAATTTTCACAATCCGCTTCATCCACACAGGGCTTAGACTTATTAATATATGTGGCTTATTGAAAAATATATTTTTATATTTTAGGCTTATTGAAAAATATATTTTTCAAGATCTCTTGTCCTCATCTTAAAGCCAGATTGTCTATTTTCATCATAATATTGCTTTCTAATAATCCTTGATGCTCTCTACAAATTTAAATATAGCTATATATGTTCCAAATCGGTACTATTTTCTCTTCTCTTAAGGTAGTATTCATATTGACAAAGTTGTACCCTTTCTAGGTTTTTTTTTTTTTTTGTATGTATGTATCCTTCATCCTCTTAATCAGCAGGCAAAATGTGAATACTTATCTAGGCCTAATAATGAAATGCACTGTGACGTGTCAAGTCTCGAATACAGCCTTATTCTTTGTATCCTTACCAACAATACTCTCATTACTTTAGTTTGAACTCAAATCCCATTTCCTCCAATAACTTTCTTAAATCTCTCCGACAGAATTATTCTCCCACCCTCCAAACCTCAACACTGCTCATACTTCTACAGCACCTATCGGTCTATGCACTATTAGAACAATTTATGAATCTGTCTCCTACCCTAGTCTCCACGACTGACTCTACTTCCTATGTGTATACCTCCTACTGCCCACCAAACACCAGAGTGAATTTCACATAGTAGGGCCTTGGCTATGTTTACTTCATTGCACTTAAAAGCTTAATTCTGAGGATATAAAAATAGGAGCTGTTTCTAGTTCTGCACACTTGCATACTCTATTTGCTTAAATGTAAAGTATTTTTAAAAATAAATAAAACTATTAAAGACATAATGTAAGAATCAAGGGGCAATAGCAATAAAGAAGGCAGAAATAAAACACGAGACATGATAAAACGGACATGATGCTCTCTGCATTTCCACACGTGGTCCAGTAAATCGGCACCTCAATCCCTCTCTTAGCCTGCACCATTCTGCCCTGTCATCCCTTTACTCTATTTCGAAACCTCCCACACTACTTCGCTGAACTTGCCTTAGCTCTCTCACAGGGACATGTACCACAAAGTATATTAGGCAACCGGTTCCCTCCTGCCTTGCTCCTGTTCCGGCCTTCCTTGCCACATTCACAGGAATAAGAGTGGGCAACCATTTCCCTTAAACAGTTCCAACTAAAATGGAAGCGCGTCTAGACCTGGGTACCTTTAATCCTCTGTAAGCCTCAGAGCTTTTAGGTCACCGTGTTTTCTCCAGAGGCTACCGTTTCAACGTGTCTTGATCTAGACATGTCTTCCAGGCGCAGTCCTTCCCTAACTTCCTACCACCACCTTAAGGTCCCATTACTCATGCTCCTTACTCCGTAGGCCTCAACGAGAGTTGGTATATTATTCCGGTGGTCAAGGTTCCCAAAAATGGGTTGACCTCTAGGCACTTTTATTTAAACATTCCCCAGACCGTCTAACTTCCTTCCTCGAAACTGATCCTACACTTCCCGAGTTCACACCATTCCCCCGAGTATCATGTCCACCGATCACCTCTTCCACCTGGGGAGTTCTGCGTCCCGGATCTCGACTAACCTCACTCTTCCTTTTCCATTCTCGAACGGGGGGACAAGGCTCGGCCACCCGCTCGATCGACAGTCTCCACGCCGGCCCCTCACCCTACTCTACTGCCGCTCCTCCCCTACTCACTTTGGGCTTCTCAGGTAACTTCTTGCGGTTCTTCTTCTTCTGCTCCTCACTCCTGAGATTCTTCAGCAAGGCTAGGTCGTCAGGGGCCGGGGCCGGCGCGGCTGCCGCCTCCTCCCGCTTTCGAGGTGGGCTCCTCCGCTTCTTGCGGGCGCCGGCGCAAGCCGCGGCCCAGCCGTAGCCCAGCAGGAAGAGCAGCAGCAGCCCGAGGGCGCCCGTGCCCACCAGAATCACCCAGCCCGGGTACCGCTTCGGCTCCAGCCCCAGGTCGAGGCCCAGCTCGGTGCGCAGAAAGCCTAGGCCGACAGAAAGCATTTCCCGCAGCCGGGCCGAGCCCTCCTCGGCCTGCTGGGCCAACTCGTCCTGCCAGCTCCGTGCAGCCATCTTCCCTCCCGTCAGAGGGAGCGATGACGCTGAGCAGAGACGCCGTGGAAGTCAAGGGAAGCAAGGAAGGGCCGGGCCGACGGCCTCAGGCCGAGCTCATCGCGGCCGCCCCTCGCGCAGAAGCCGGGGATCGGCCGCTGCCGTCGCCAGGAGGAGAGGGGGCTTCCAGTTCCCCCTCGTCAGCCTCACTCCGCTGCCGCCAGGAGGAGGGGGACAGCGGGAGGGAGTGTCTCCAGTGGCGGCCGCTAAGCGGCGTCTCGGCGCCAGCGCCAAGGCCCACTGTCCTCCCTCGGCGGAACAATGGCGGCTCCAGCCGGGATCCGAGCGGCGCGCGGGGACGCTCGTGGAGGGCCGCGGGTCACGTGGGAGCCAGTGGGCGGGGCGGGGCGGGGCGTCACGTGGGC